TGGTAGGGGACGGCGTATGGTTCTAGGTAGGAAGTGACAACATTGCTTGTGGTATATAAAATTTTACTTTATGCAGGTAGATATATACATACAAAAAACACTATGTGCCCGGTCAGCACATACTGGTAGTGGTTGTTGTCTCGGTGCCCCGGAGCACCCAGCCTAACCCATGCTAGGCTAAGACCTTTCTGTCTTTCGCTGATTTTCTTTTCTGGACCGAACCTTATATAGCCAAGCTCACCTGACATTTAGTGAGTCATAAATATAAACAACAGTAATTCATGAGTGACATACTTGCACATCTCGTTCAGGATGGCAGATAGTCGATGTACATGATGTGGGATAAGCATCTTACAAAAGAAAACCATCAATGAAGTGTTTCAAGGCATATAGATGTCATGGCTCCAGGCTAATTAGCCTTTGGAATTAAATGTTCATTCAGACAATGAGTGTCCCAAATAGGTCCCTATGACAACTTCCCTCCCTTCTGTGAAGCTTGGACCCCAAGCTTACATGACTCCAAATTGATATGGGTGAACTTTTACACAAAAGGAAACAACATTGCAAATGAGTACATATTCACTTGAGATCAGTTCATGATATCGTTGAAATCCAGGTGCAACAAATGCAATCTATGCAATGATGGTATGAAAGCGCCAGTGCCAGTTTGAAAACTAACCAAGTGATCTTTGTAATGTGCAATTTAAATGCAAGGTAATTAGCACTTTGCACAGATTCAATAAATGTGTCACTGAAGGTTCTGTCCATGTCTTTGACGGAGCTTGTGGGAGCTGTGCTAAAGAAAAAAAAAAAATCCTGTGCACTTTAATAACTTGTAACAAATGACAAATTTTGTCGTTTAGATTTTTGAAATTACGAGTCTAGCATTAGGGTGAACTCTATAACCCTACAGCTTAGGTTTGTCTGGGCCCTAGATATATCTACATGTCTGGTCGGTTTATGATAACAGGAGATCCTCATGGATCATGCTGGAGGTTCAGAGAGACGATAAGCACAGAGGAGGCAAGATGTGAGCAGTGCGCCAAGAAAGCCTGAGGCTGTAACTAAGGCTAAGAGGCGTGAAGGGGCCAAGAGAAAAGTTGGTCATCACTGCAGCCGACACCGATCAGGCCTCTGATTCTACCCCAGTGCCTCATACTCCTACTCCAGCAGAACAATCAGCTCTGCGCTCTCCATGAGTCTGATTCAACAACTATCCAAGCAGCATCAGGAGATGATGAAGGCCATGTTTGAGACTCGATTCTCAGCCTTAAACGAGGATATTGAGATGATGAAGAGTAGACAGACAACTCTGGCTAAGACGAGTTCCCCCGTCAAGAGACCGCATGGGGGACTGCCATTTGTCTTTGCAACACACATGGCCATAAGGCCTACCCCAGCTGACTGTACCGACCAACCAACCCTCCAGACAGCCAGCTGTCCAGCCAACCGATCGTCTGTACAGCCAACTGACAGATCAGCCGTCCAACCAGCAAGGTATAAGCTCGCAAGCTTTTCCCTCCCGTGATACAGGATCTGTCATCAGCATCCAGATATTTACACATAATTCTTCCCATCCCCAGAAGCTTTCCTTGGATCAGAAGGATTGGTCATATAAACAGTCTCCTAAGAAGAAGTTTGTCCCCTCCGGGAAAGATTCATTCCAACCGTGTTGTGGATACTACACGCACCAATCTTCTCAGGAATCTTTCGTCAGTCCAATCGCCTGGGCAGATCTGGGGTCAGAGGTGAACACAGATTCTGACTTCCTTGCCACCCACTCTGACGTTATAGACCCTTTCAACCTGGTTATATCTATGGACTGTTTACGCGTACCGTCTTTCAACATAATGCCAACTCCGGGCCAGTGGCAGAGCGCCATCTGTCAAATTCCGTGAAAATTGGAAGCAGATTACGCCTGACCGCTGAATTCTAGACGTTGTGGCTCACAGATACAAACTGCATTACAGGAAACATTCTATCTTGAAAACTTGGACGCAGATTTCATCTAGTCATAGCCAAGCTAGTGTCAGAGGATCTGGCCTTAGGAAGCTACTAAAGAAGTGAGCCATTTGGAGAGTAGCGCAGACCAACAAAACCAAAGGTTTTTATTCTCCAGTATTCTGGACATGAGGATGATAATCGACCTAAAGATCCTCAACAAGAAATTCCTGGTACCTCTGCCAAAGTACAAGATGAAATCTGTACGGAAGTCGCAGTCGACGTTGAAGACAACATATTGGCTCATCAGGCTCGACCTACAAGAAGCTTACCTATGAGTCCTGATACATCCATCATCACCATTTGGGATATCCATAGCCCCTTGGCTAATTACCAGGATTACAGCGGCAGTCATCAGTCACCTCCAGCTAGTACGAATCCATGGATACCTGGACGATTTCCTGTCTGCAGATCAAGAGGAAGCTCAGTTTAACCAGAACATGATATTTCAGTTTATGACCTGCCTAGTCTTCCTAATCAGTTCCTCCAAGTCCGAGACCACTCTGGTTCACGACATCATATACATCTGAGCGTGTTTCCAACTACTCATGGGATATCTATGCCCACCAAAAGATCGATTTGTCAAGACTATCATGATGATTCAATCACTATCAAGTCAACCCAGCAGGTCACTGAGTGACATGGTGGATGTCTCTTCTGGGCAACTTAACGTCTTTACAGAATATGACCTTCTGAGGAAGGTTGATGTTACGTCCCCTACAAACATGGATCACCTCACTATTGACCTGCATTGGTGGACTCACAGAGAGCATGTGATGAGCGGCATCCCTCTGACTTCTCCGAAGCCCAAACACAATCTATTCACAGACACGTCAGATTCAGGATGGGGAGCCCATATGGACGATATCACGGTACAGGGATCTTGGAGCATCGGAGAGAAGAGCCTTCATATCATCTGCAAGGAGATGAAGGCCATCTATTACGCCATCCTCATAGCCACGGACGTCTCTCAAATCATCCATCTTCACAGCCACGCACAACACCACAGTAGTGGCTTACTTCCAGAAACAAGGAGGAACCAGATCCAACTCCCTGATGACGGAGACTACACAATTGTTTACCTTGGCAGACTCCATCAATTGCCGGATGGAAGCGAGACATATATCGGGAAACTGAACATCCTTGCTGACAGCCTTTCCCACCAGGGGAGAATAGTGGCAACGGAATGGACCTTACATCCCCAGATCATTGCTTGGATAACCATGTTATGGGACACATCACACCTAGATCTCTTTGCCACCTGCCAGAACCATCAACTTCCGGTTTATATCAGTCCAGTTCCCGACCCAAGAGCTCACCAGATCGATGTGCTATCGATGGACTGGACGGGTCGTTTTGCATACGCATTCCTACCATGGTCTCTCCTAGACAAGGTCATCCACAAGGTGGAGGAGACGGATTGCATGATAATCCTGATAGCACCAATCTGGCTCAGCAGAGCTTGGTTCCCAATATTATTAGGTCTTCTAATGGAAGAACCTATCCAGTTATATCTCTGTCGAGATCTGTTGAGACAACCCAAGTCCAACATTTTCCATAACAATCTGCCCAGCCTACATCTAACCGCCTTGAAGTTATCACGCAGAAAATGCAGACATCCAGATACTCTGAGCTTGGCTCGAACGCTGTATAAGGCTTTATAACTAATGGTATATCCATCCCTATGGTAGCGGATTTTCTACTACATCTACGTCAGGGCAATAAATACCGACATGGGACGATAGAAGGTTGCAGATCGGCTCTTCACAAAACACCTTCGCCAGTTTTTACTTGTGTGACGTGCGATTGTATCTAGAGGGCATATATTCCCTTGGGCCCAATGTTGCGGCACAAACTATCATCCACCAATAGTTTTGCCCCTTCTATCGGGAAAAAAAGGGGTGGGGGCGAGGATTCGATAAGGAGCATCATTAGTTGAGTGACCGAAAGTGATGTCAGAACCTACGGAATACAAGTAGGTTTGAATGTTTTTGTCACAAATATTGCCTTTAGAATTTTTAATATGCTCTTTAAATGATTTAATCCCATATTTATAGTTTACTAGAAATCTCCTTTAATGTCATTTCTTATGACAGTCTCATTTTCCTGACTGACCACAGAATAAACAGTCTTTTCTTTCCATGGATCGAAGTCAATGATTCTGGCTGTTTGTTCCACTGATATTGGGGGTCTTCTATAGATGCTGAAATGTTGTTTGGGTTTATATAAACTCGCCTACACTCTTGATGTTCTGTCTGTCCTTCCACAGTGTGAGTGTCATCGCCACGATAAAAGACTCACTTTGTTGACATTCTCACTACCCTCGTAATTAACTGTTGCTTGTCTATCATTTTGGACATGCTTTCAATGCACACCCAGATCCATTTGAAATAATAGCCTGAAAAGAATTCTATTTATTACTATTTACACATAAATTTGGTGTCTTTCACAGTTGCAAGTTACTAAATGATAAGCATGAATCTGTTAGATCACCAAGTGTGAAAAAAAACTCACAATAATTCATCCAAAGATGTTGAATCAGCAACATTTTTATCATTTTCCTAACAAATTTAAGCATTTCTTAAAAACTATGCTTGCGATAAATTTACCTGATTGTGGTTATTGTCCAAATTGCCCAACATTGACGTCATACTGATCCTCCATCTTGTTTACGTTGAACTCTCTCCATATTTGGACGAGACATGTATGATATTTGTTATTTTTATCAATTCAATATTAAGATGGTTTCGTGAGTGAGTAAATTCTTATACTTGTGATATTTTATTAAGGAATGTGAACTACTTGTGAAGTAGTTGCAATGTTTTTTATTGCAATTTCTTTGAGATGACATTGTATATTGGACTATATTAGGAAGATTGTAGGTTAGGTGAATCTTATTTCACTCTTCTGTGTACATGATGACTTCATAGATTTATACTGTGTTTCAAGCAACATCTTTAACAGCTAACTCAATCCTATAATTTTTGTCTTTTTTACAGGTATGACCGAAATATGTTGTCAAAGCTCAACAAGATCTCTAAACCAAAACAACTCAAGCAGTATGTAGCTGTCTCAAATTATACAAAACAAGAGATAGGAGAAATTGATCTTCAAGCTGGGATGGTGTTGGAAGTTATGGAACAGAGTGAGAGTGGTTAGTGATTTCACCTCACCTTGGCTTGTGAGCTTTTGTTGTCTATTGTCCACGATCAGAATCCTTTGTCCATAAACAGTTAAATTCATCTGTAAAGTATATGCATTATTTTCATTCAAGTGTGTTCTTCTGAAGAATTTTTTAAAGTCTTATGCATGTACTTAATGGTGGTATATATATATATAATATTTGAATACTTACATTTGACAAATGCTGACAATCTTATGTCAGTTGTAGGTCATAGTGACAAACTTTCAATAAGTTTAATATGAGAATTTCAATGAGAAAATGTGCTATAATTTCATTGATACGTTGAATTCCCACTTCATATTTGGTTATATACAAGGGCTCACTGAAAAGTTTTAAGCCTAACTGCAAAGAATAATAAGTACACCCTCAACTGTTTGCATGTATTTTGTACAGTACTGTCCATGCTTGCTGGCTGAATTTAACCAAATATACAACCAGACAGCATATAATTCCTTTGAATACCTAACCTCCATTGCATCATAGCCATAAATACCTGTTTTGGCTGCTATCACACCATATAATTTTTCAAGACGCCCTCTTCACTGCCATATATATCTAATAGTTGTGAGGAAAATGCTATCATCGGCAGGAAGTGCGACATGCGAGACGTAAAAATGTCACTTCTTACCTGTGTGCCCAGATGTAAACATCAACATTTTGTTGTCACATCTGATCATGTTTGGCTTGCAATTTCATGCTATAACTTCTTGAGATTGTCTTACACCGACAACAAGGCAACCACTTGTGTCCCTTGGGAATGCCAGAAACCTATAATTCTTACTAATACTTTAGCTCTATTACATCCTTGCCAAATTCCTGTATCTTGCCTGCAATCACACCAAAACTATTCTACAGATTTTGAACTTGTTGTCACATCAATAAGACTGCCAGTTAACATCCAGCTCTTTTGCTTGCTTAATGCAGGAAAATCCTCACTTTTTATCCCCCCGACATATAATGACGGGGGGATATAGCCATCAGTATGTCCATCCGTCCGTCCGTCTGTCTGCAATCATTGTTTGTCCGGAGCATATTTCCTAAACCGTACAACCAAGCTTCCCAAAACTTGGTACACTCAACAATCAGGCTCAGTAGAAGTGCCTTTTGCTATTTAGAGATTTTTCAAATTTATATTTTTGTCGTTTCATGGAAATATGATGAACTTAGGAAATTTGAGGGTAGTGCTCTTGTCTGGAGCATATTTCCTAAACCGTACAATCTAGCTTCCCAAAACTTGGTACACTTAACAATCAGGCTCAGTAAAAGAGCCTTTTGCTATTTAGAGATTTTTAGAATTTTATATTTTTGTCGTTTCCATGGAAATATGATGACCTTAGGAAATTTGAGGGTAGTGCTCTTGTCCGGAGCATATTTCCTAAACCGTACAACCTAGTTTCCCAAAACTTGGTACACTTAACAATCAGGCTCAGTAGCAGTGCCTTTTGCTATTTAGAGATTTTTCGAATTTATATTTTTGTCGTTTCATGGAAATATGATGAACTTAGGAAATTTGAGGGTAGTGCTCTTGTCTGGAGCATATTTCCTAAACCGTACAATCTAGCTTCCCAAAACTTGGTACACTTAACAATCAGGCTCAGTAGAAGAGCCTTTTGCTATTTAGAGATTTTTAGAATTTTATATGTTTGTTGTTTCCATGGAAATATGATGAACTTAGGAAATTTGAGGATAGTGCTCTTGTCCGGACCATACAACTTAGCTTCTCAAAAGTTTTTACACCTATCAAGCAGGTTATGTAGTGGTGCTTTTTCTGTTAATATTCTTTTTTCAATTTAAATTGAAAATTGATGAACTTAGGGTAATGTCCTCGTCTGGAGCATATCTTCTAAACCATGTGACAGAGATTCACCAAACTTTATCAATCATGTTCACTAGTAGTGCAGTTTGTTATTGATAGATTTTAATCTTTTTAATTTGTAGCCACTGACATATAATTCTAAGGTGTACTATTTACCGATATCATATACTATATATGATGTGAGCTACATGACCTAGTACATTCTCTTTATGCCTTTGTGTCATGAGGCTACTACAGAGGTGATCATATGCGAATCTGCGAAGTTATTGTTATTACAATTTCATGAGATCATCAGCAAGTGAGCTACATGAACCGATATTTAATAACCTTCATTATATTTCTGGTTTTGGCATCAAGGAAAAAGATTTCCTTGCCAATCTAAATACATTTGAAGGTACACACAGTTTACCGACATGCCACGTCGGGGGGATATGTCATCTTCGGATGACTCTTGTTTCCTGTGTGCTATAGTCAACATCAGCTTTTCACTAAGTCTAATCAACCCGTGGTTAGAATTGGTCTTCAGCATCCCACGCTTGTCATAACGACAAACGGGATCAGGTGGTCAGGCTCAATGACTCTGTTGATGCATGTCATGGTATCCCAGTTGTGTGGATCAATGCTCATGATATCAATCACTGGATTTGCTTGTCCAGACTTGATCAGACTTTCTGTAGTTTTATCATAAAAATTCGAATCAATAGTGATTGGGGTCTGCATCAATCACAGTTGGCGGAGCTTATTTAGGGTTGCGCTATAAATAGCAAAGCACATAGTCATGTGTACATGTGACACATTCAATGCATTTGTGGTCAATGTGTATTTTGTTGTATATATTTACGGCAGAACAGCGGTACAACAGTTTGGGTTAATGTAATAGTAACGACACATAAATACTAAATTAGCGACAAGATTCTTTCAGTTCAGTCCGAAAATTACAGATATTTGTTCAGTTTTGGTCATTTGCGTTCATCAGTTAGATATATACCACACAATAATCAGATTATATTGATAAAACTTAAATTATTACACATATTTTTCAACTAGTGTTTAGGAAGAGGCCTCGTTTGAAGAACGAGAAGTTGCCCCAATATTTCTTTGCTTGACAATATATGAATATGTCACATGTATCAACATAACAATGCACATAAGCAACTGATAAATAAGTAACAAAATATACTAGATGTTTGAAGTACATTAGGCGTATCTAGATAATATTGTACTTACGATAAATGAAAACTCCAGTACACATATTTCAAGACAACTTTAATTATGGATTTCCTTTTCTTTCACAGAATTTTCACACAAAAAACTGAGTTTGATCATTAGATCCCAACATGTCCCATGTATTTCTGGTTTTGTGGATTTGGATACACTTCGTGCACAAATTTTGAAAGACAACCTGGGATCACTTTCCTATTTTGTCCACACCAATCCTTCATCTGCTGCTGAGGTGGTCGGGTAACCTGGTGGTTAAAGCGCTAGCACGTCACGCCGAAGACACGTATTCGAATTCCGACATGTGTACAAATTTGTGAAGCCCATTTCTGGTGTCCCCCCGCCGTGATATTGCTGGAATATTGCTAATGTCTTATTTGTCCAGTTTCATGTTTAACATTTCCATTTACATTATTCACAGTCCAACTAGAGGTGAAACATTGTGATAACCGTTCACTGGTTTCTTGTGGGCAAGAAGTTGTCTCTTCTCCCTTTTAAGGGCATGGTCTAGGATTTGATACTTCTTCTTCACCTTGGGTGGCATCATACTACCTGGATTGTGATCACAGTATTATCCTACTCAACCTTTTCAGGCCAATATAGACTTAATGAAGGCCAAGAATGCGGTGGATCTCCTGGAAGCTGACTCCATCCAACCATGGTTTTATTCTCATGTCTTCCTTGTGCCCAAGAAGGGTTAGTCAAAACTCTGGATGATCCACAATCTGGCACCAGTCAATCTCCACTATCTAGTACCGCAGCCACATTTCTAGATAATCTCCATCCGTTCTCTGTGCAAACTCCTTCAACCGATGGACCACCTGATCAGTCTGGACCTACATGATCCCTACATTCATATTCCCATTCATACAGCGCATCGTCGTTTTCTCCACTTCATCCGTGGACAGCACTTAGAGTGGAAAGTGCTCCCATTTGGCATTTCCATGGCTCCTTGGTTATTCACACCAAACCCATCGTTGTGTTCCTTCGCCAGAGGGGGATTCGGTTCAGAGCCCACTTTGACGATCACTTTCATAGGCGGTCCCTTTCTGACAGAACTCGCCTTGATACAGGATCCGCCAGATCTGTTCGCTCTATCCAATCCGAGGTCAGGAGAGCCCTCTCTCAACCTCTTGTTCTACTCCGCAGTGGCAGGGCCTTCTCGGCTTGTTGACTTCAGCTCAAGATCTTATGTCCAGGGATCCTCTTCAACTGTGTCCCATTTAGCGGTTAGGGAATTACACCTGTTCCTGGCCTGGCATCGACCATCTTGAGTGGTTCCTCTATGATAATATTTGAGGCTACCCGCCATCTCTTCGTGGACGCGTCTGTACAAGGATGGGGCGCCTACCTTCTCCAGGAAACCACTTCCGGTCAACAATTGGTCATATCAGCAATCTGGAGTTGGCGGCAGTCATTCGGGTGATTCACCTTCGGCGTCAGCTCCTCTGCAACAGCTGTCTCCTGATCGTGTCGGACAACTCCACAATCTGCTCAAAGCCCATCACATTCCAGGTTGTTGCAATGTCTTAGCTGGATTTGGTTTCACGGCCTCCTTCAGCCTGTGGCCAAATCTGCTGCTCAATCCTCACACCAGACAGCCGCATCCAGACCCTGATGGTAACAATCTGCACATCTGGCGTGTCTCCAGAAGTCCCTGGTCGCTAAAGGGTTTTTGGTTTGTGCTGCCATGGCTGGTTACCGAGCTCATCGCTCCTCCACTTGTTCCCTAGATGGTGACAAGTGGCGTTCATTCCAGGCCTTCTGACATCGTTCCGGTGGAGGCCACTGTTACCCAGGTTGCTGACTTTTTGGTTTTTCTTCATCAGGCCTGTCACCTTGCTGGTTCCACGATTGCAACCTATCTTGCTGTGCTCAGTTATCTCCATTTTGCTGTATCTACTTCATTACCAAAACGTATCACGTATCTGGTATG